TATATATATATATATTAAAACTAAAATGTAAAAATTTGTTAAGTGTAATATGTATTTTAGTCATACCTTCTTTGTGGGTGGTGTTCCCTTCATGATATCAACAATTGTTACTTGTTCTGCATCTCTTTTTTTTTTTTTTGGAGTTGAAAATTGCTTTTCATTCTAATAAATTTAAGGAAAATGTATATTAATTGCAAACCATTCTTGCATTTGCTTTGCTTTTTGCAACTTTGGATTTATTTCAATTGTTGTAATAGATATTGTAGTAAGCTGAAATTCAACNGTGGTTAACCTGTATATTGGATTTATTATCACAAGATGTTTTTTAAAAATAATAATAATAAATTTAAGGAAAATGTATATATTAATTGCAAAGCATTCTTGCATTTGCTTTACTTTTTGTAGCTCTGGATTTATTTCAATTGTCGTAATAGATGTTGTAGTAAGCTGAAATTCACCTGAAATAGGATAACAAATGTCTTAGTACTGTAAATTAATTGTTTAATTAACAAATATAATTTAATACTCACCTTCGTCTCATCAACTAAAATGACTTTCCAAATTTCTCCAGTGCCTTTGTTATTGCTATATGTGGTAATTGATCATCTTCGAAGAACCTTCACTTTTAGATTCCACTTGTTTTCATATTTTGTTAATTGGTTGATTGTTGAAATTGCAGTTGTTAAGACTTCGTCAATTGACATTGTTGCTTGGAATTTATTGCCTGCAAAATAAATACTATTATTTGTGCTTATTACCTACACATAATTAAAAAAAAATAAACCATACAGACACACATAAAGAATGCAATCTGAAAGCTAAAAGTTTGTAGATAATTTTTGATTCAATGTGAAACTAAATTATAAAATAAAAAAATTAATAAAATTATATCCTTGCTTTGATTATCACCTGTTTCTGAAGGTAGGTAGAATATGCAAAGGCTAAGTTGCTTTAAATTGCAATTATAGTTTTGAACATTAATCCATTGAATTTGTAGAGTGTACTGGAGGCTTGCTGTTTCATCATCAATTGTAAAAAAGAGAAGTACAATTTTTAATGTTTGAAGAATGAAAGTATTAATCATGAACGTGAAATACTTCATAATTGAAATACTACACTATTTTTATTAATAGTATAAAGAAGTTGNGCATTAATCATGAATATGAAATACTACACTATTTTTATTAATAGTATAAAGAAGTTGTATAATCCCATAAGAACAAGAATTCATGGGTAACATTACCTGTGGGGGATAAAACCTCTTTGTACACAATAAGTGTGATCTCACTAAGCTTGCATTAACGGTTTCTGCTCTTGTACCACGTCGAACGACTGGTAGTATTTGTCTAAAGTCTCCACCGAATACAATAACCTTTCGTCCAAATCAATCGGAATTGTTCATTATGTCCTTTAAGCTCCTATCGAGTGTCTCAATGGCAAACCGCTTAGCCATGGGGGCTTTATCCCATATACTGAGTTTTGCTCTGCGTATTAATTCTGTTGTTCCACTCTGCTCGGATATGTTACATAGGCTTCTCCGTTGTAAGTATAGGTATTTTGAATCGCGAGTGAGCTGTTCTACCCCCTGGCAGTATTACAACTGCTACACCAGATGTTGCTATTGCAAGTGCTATCAGTCCTTNCGACTGGTAGTATTTGTCTAAAGTCTCCACCGAATACGATAACCTTTCCTCTAAATCAAT